GGTTAAGGACAGGGTTGGGGACAGGGGACAGGGACAGGGAGGGCGGTGGGGGTGGGGGGTGTGCGGGTTTTTGGGGTGCGGGGGGTTGGTTTTGGGGGGGTCTGGGGGAAGGGACAGGAGAGGGACAGGCAGGGTCGGGGTGGGCAAGGGCAGGGGGACAGGGATGGGACAAGGGACAGGGACAGACAGGGGGACACAGGCAGGGACACACAGGGGGACAGACAGAGGGGACAGACAGGGGGACACAAGCAGGGACACACAGGGGGGGACACAAGCAGGGACACAAGCGCTCCCCTGCCCCCCTCTGACCGCTGTCCCCCGCGCTGTCCCCAGGGTACATCGGTGACCTCATGGCTCCCTCGGCCTTCCCGGGGGACCCCGAGGCCGCGCTCAAGGTGCCGTCCCCGGACTCGCTGTACCCCGGCGGGCGCGGCGACTTCGGCGCGGGGGACTCGGAGCCCCCCGACAGCCCCCACTCGGGGATGGCCGGCGGGTACATCAACGGCGACGCCGCCGTCAGCGAGGGCTACGCCGTGGACGCCTTCTTCATCACGGACGGGCGCTCGCGGCGCAAGGTGAGCGGAGCCGGAGGAGGAGGAGGAGGAGGAGGAAGCTCCAGGAACCTGCCCCGCCACACCTGCGGCGAGTGCGGCAAGAGCTACGCCACCTCCTCCAACCTGAGCCGCCACAAGCAGACCCACCGCAGCCTGGACAGCAAGATGGCCAAGAAATGCCCCACCTGCGGCAAGGTGTACGTCTCCATGCCGGCCATGGCCATGCACCTGCTGACCCACGACCTGAAGCACAAGTGCCAGGTGTGCGGCAAGGCCTTCAGCCGGCCCTGGCTGCTGCAGGGCCACATGAGGTCCCACACGGGCGAGAAACCCTTCGGCTGCGCCCACTGCGGCAAAGCCTTCGCCGACCGCTCCAACCTGCGCGCCCACATGCAGACGCACTCGGCCTTCAAGCACTTCAAGTGCAAGCGCTGCAGCAAAACCTTCGCCCTCAAGTCCTATCTCAACAAGCACTACGAGTCCGCCTGCTTCAAGGGGGCCGCGGCGCCCCTCAGCCCCCTGCGGCCCTGAGGGGCTGCGGGACCCCCGCCCCGGGGCGGCCCCGGCGGTCCCCGGGCTCGCCCGCTCCGCTTTGAGCCACGGAGGTGCGGCCCCGGGGAGGGGGGGGGGGAGAGGTGGGAGAGGCGGGGAGAGGGAACGGCTGGAATTCGGCACCTCCAGGGAGAGGGAACGGCTGGAATTCGGCACCTCTGAAATCCCCAGGGGAGAGGGAACGGCTGGAATTCGGCACCTCTGAAATCTCCAGGGAGAGAGAACAGCTGGAATTCAGCACCCCCGGGATCCTGAGAGAGGGAACGGCTGGAATTCATCACCCCCGGGGGGAACAGCTGGAATTCGGCACCCCCAGGGTGGGAACGGCTGGAATTCGGCACCTCCAGGGGAGAGGGAACAGCTGGAATTCGGCACCCCCGGAGGGAACAGCTGGAATTCGGCACCCCCAGGGTGGGAACGGCTGGAATTCGGCACCTCCAAAATCCCGAGAGAGGGAACAGCTGGAATTCAGCACCCCCGGAGGGAACAGCTGGAATTTGGCACCTCCAAAATCCCGAGAGAGGGAACGGCTGGAATTCGGCACCTCTGAAATCCCCAGGGAGAGAGAACAGCTGGAATTCAGCACCCCCGGGATCCTGGGAGAGGGAACAGCTGGAATTCAGCACCCCCGGGGGGAACAGCTGGAATTCGGCACCCCCAGGGTGGGAACGGCTGGAATTCGGCAACCCCGAGATCCCGGGAGAGATCACAGCTGGAATTCGGCACCTCTGAAATCCCGAGGTCACATCTGGAATTCATCCCCCCCCCCCACCACCACCAGGGATCCCGGAATTCACAGCTGGAATTCACACCTGGAATTCACACCTGGAATTCACACCTGGAATTCGGCATCCCCAAAATCCCGAGAGAAATCACACCTGGAATTCGGCACCCCCGGGATCCCGAGGTCACATCTGGAACTCAGCGCCTCTGAAATCCAGAGGGAGAGATCACAGCTGGAATCCGGCACCCCCGAGAGAGGGAACAGCTGGAATTCGGCACCCCTGGGATCCCCAGGGATCCCAAGGTCACATCTGGAATTCAGCCCCCACCCTCCCCGCCCAGGGATCCCGGAATTCAGCACCTGGAATTCACACCTGGAATTCAGCACCTGGAATTCAGCACCTGGAATTCACACCTGGAATTCAGCACCTGGAATTCAGCACCTGGAATTCAGCACCTGGAATTCAGCACCTGGAATTCAGCCCTCCCCCCCCTCAGGATCCCGAGGTCACAGCTGGAATTCAGCACCTCTGAAATCCCCAGGGATCCCGAAATTCACATCTGGAATCCAACAGCTGGAATCCAACAGCTGGAATCCACATCTGGAATCCAACAGCTGGAATCCACATCTGGAATCCAAAGCTGGGAACCCCAGCTGGGAATCACATCTGGAATACA